AGTTCTGCCCTAGAAGACAGAATGAGGATGGCCTAGAACTGACTATACCATTTAGTGAAACGATAGCCATCTGCGTGAGTGCTAATGGCACCTAGTCAGGCCCAAGGAACACTAACACCTACCAGGCTGGGCAGCACAGAGAATTATCCAGGGACAGGGAGGCGAAAACTTCTCCCTGATGTAATTGATGTCTAAAAAGTACTGGGAGAGGAAGGGAGAGAAAAAGAACACTTTAATCTGAATAATTCCCAAAGATGGATCTGAAATCAATGAGAAAATACAGGTCTGATGTCAGACTGTTCTCTGGAACAAATCCTGTAGATTCAAGATGGCATTAAAGAACAGATTTCTACCAAGCTGAAACGGAGTAGATGACAGTTTCATGGGCCTTAAAATGTTGAGCTGTGCTATCCAAGGGATAAAGAAAGTACACTCCACTCAGCTGGCAGGCAAAGCTGGAATCTGATATGGAAGTGGTCTGTATGGAAGAGAAATCAGCCAGGAACTCGGCACTTGAAATTCACTTATCCCAGGAAAACATGTAACACCATTTAACTAGCATAACCAATTTGCTTCAAAGATGACAATGTCTAGAAAGTTATGGAGGAAATCCTGAAGTATGCAAAACTTTCCTTTAAATCTGTTTCTTCAGAAGCTTTGTACACACCATCCAAAAGCAAGTTCACAGATTAATTAGGGAAGCTCAGTTTTTAAATGCTGATATTGACTGTGTGTACATGTTATGGTACCTCATAACAAATAGTTAATTAGAATAGAACAGACTATTTCAGTTGGAGGGTACCTACAATGATCGTCTAGTCCAACTGCCCAACAAATTCAGGGCTGACTGAAAGCTAAACAATGTTGTTAAGGGCATTGTCCAAATGACTCTTAAACACTGACAGGCTTGGCGCATCAAGGCTGATATTTAATGAATTTCAAAGGGTCATTTGATGAGAAGGTATTTGGCTACCTATCCATTTCACTGAGCTTTGTCTGGATCCCAGTAAAAGCATAACTGAACAAAAAATTGCACATTTGATTAGATTGAAAATTCAGTTCTTTCCACTAGAAGGATATTTTTCCTATTTAATGCTCAATATGATAAAAGAATTATATAATCACACGGAACAAACAACATATGCTTGAGTATATAATTCATGGATTAAAATGATACATTAAATTATCCAAACTTGGGTGTGGAAAAAGAAGAAAAAAAATAATAAAATTACTTGGGTTTACAGCTGTTCATTAAAGCATTCAATTATATTTTACAGAGCTTCTGGACATATATAGTTTGTCAGCAGCAATTATAGACTGATGGAAAGTGGCTGCAATACAGATCCAACAGTAAACAACTCCATGCCACAAGATAGTCTGAAAATTCCTCCTAAAAACTCTGGAAGACGCTGGAGTGGTAGACCAAGAAAATATGCATACTACCTTCCAGATGTCAGTTCCAAGTACCCATTCAAATATCATGAAATTTCAGTAAATGTTACCTTTCTAGGACAAGACAGCATATCAATTCCTTTTCACAATAGCCAAGCTTTAGTTACTTAAAGCAAAAATTTTCTACTCCAGCCCAACGGCTTGTTTTTTTTCTTTTTTTTTTATCCTGCTTATAGACCAGACACTCGTTAACCTCTCACATCTCTGGAGAGTTGTGGTTTAAGGGAACCCAGGAGGAAAAGACAAATTTGGAAAGCCATTTATCCATCTCACTAGAATTGAGACATTATGGTTTTCATTCTTCCCCCACTCCCCAAAATACCAAATTTCCATCATCAGAGCTCTCTGAATAAACGAACATTTTGTTACTGGACTCAGGAAGAAAGAAACCACATGCCTGTTAGGGACAGAAAGAGAGGAGGAGTGGAGTATGTGCTTGGGAGCGTGTTTATTTGACTGGATTGCAGACGGTCAACCGAAGAACATGCAGATCATATATTTTTAAGCATTTCATAATGTCTTATTATTAATTCCAGCCAAAACCACCAAGACCAAAATTATCTGAAATTGGTGCTTGTGTGTCCTGACCCCAAAGCCAACAATGGTTGCATAAAAAAAAAAAAAAAAAAAAAAAAATCATCTATGTTCCTCTCAGGTTTAATTTTTTTTTTTTTTAATCAATTAGAAGGCAGTGCCCTTTAGAGTCCATGGAGAAGATAGGTCCCCATAACTAACAAACTGAATGTGGTCCTGGGTAAATTTTACTTCCAGGAAACCAAAATGCTGCAGTCCTTAAGAGATGGAGGCTATAAGCAGAGGGCTCTTCTAAAGGAAGGAGTTTTTATTGAACCTGTCACTTGTCATTAAACACTCCATATTTCACCTTAGCCTGATATTTTCATTAGAGCATACCGACCTTTTTCATCTGTGAATGAAAGCATTCCCTTCAGCCTTGTGTTGAATATGGGGAGAGACTCACTAAAATTGAGCCCACCCAAACAGGACAATTACGTTCATAAAAGCAGGAGAGGCACTAGGGAAAATCAAGTAATATTAATACTATGATAACTTATACATTTCAATGTTGACTATCACATCCCACTTCAATCTTAAATTCTTACATGAATTTAATAATGTCTATTTTTAATCTCATAAATACTTGCATATAATTACAGAGAAAGCAACAGACACCAGTGCAGAATAAAACGTAATGTAAGCAAAGTAGAAAAAAGCATGTACTGCTGTATAGACATCTCTAATTGGAAAACCTTAATGTAAATGGTAAAGATAATATTATACACTTTAACATCTTTGTTTCCAAATTTAGCTTCCCTATTAGACCACAAGTAACACTGGAAAAAAAGAGAAAAGTCTCAAACAAATTGGCTTCATCAAAAGAGACAATTGGTTGTTTCTTGTCCCTAGACATAAGTTGGTTACTCTGAAATTAAAAATCGGAAAGATTTAGAGTAAAATTATGCTGTGTTACTCATATTTTTATATCTATGATCTCTCTACTGCTATAACACTTTGTAAGTAAAGAATTGGATAGGACATTGCAAGGACAGCTATACATTCTTAAAGAAATCGGATACAAAGCAACACCATTTTTTGACACCTAATTTCTGAGCTAAAGCTGCCTCACTGCTGCCACGAAAGATGTACAATCTCTCTGAAGTATCAGAAACTGGTGTTAGTTTTAACATGAATTAAACTTACCTGTTACTAGAATACCCTTGTCTGTCCACTGCTATGTGTAGTTGTATAAACACATTACATAAACTACTGGATCTTTAAAACAAACAAACAAAAAAAACCCCAGCAATTTTAGCATGCAAATAAGAGCTGACAGAAAACAAATTTCAGGCTCTTTGCAAAGCATTCCATGTGTGTAAAAGAAAGAAAAAAAGAAAAGGGAAAGAATAATTGTAGAGGAAAAAAGCCAGAAAAGAAAGCCATACCTTTTAAAATCTGAAAGTGATACATAAAACCAAAGAAGATGGTCTTGTGGAATGGTGTCATTTGATAAATACACCATGCACATAATTGCAAGGCAAGTGTCAAATACCACTTACCTCTTCAAACTGTGCATACAGATTTACTCAAATGCAGATTAGAAATCTAACCAAATATTGTATTAGTTTTAGGAATTTTTAAAGACATTTCACTATTACAAGGAGGATTGTGTTATTTAAACTTAAGCTGCCACATAACGAGAGCCTTGTGGATTGCCATAGCATTACAGCCACAAAACCCATTAGCAGATGTAGAAATCCCACATCCCCGCCTCTTATAAAAGTCTGCAGTTATGAAATCATTTTCATACACTTGAAACTTAACTATTTCAGTGCCCTGACCATACAGGACGAGAATTGAGGGGGAAAACCACAAAATGGTGCATCTGAGACCATTCCACATGGACACATGTTTCTGTGGTTCTTTGAAAAGTTCTTAAAGAGTTGAAACCATCCCCCTGGAATTTCACAGAACAGACTAAAGAAGCATCTGAATTAAGGAGATTTATCTTTGCTAGTGCACTATTAGGATCTATTCTGTGTCTTCATTGTAGATGTATTAAGATATGCAGCTGATAACAAGAAACAGGATTTAACCTAGGATAACAAAGGAAAACACGTAAGAGAAGGCTTGCTCTCTGAAGATTTAAAAAATAGTTTTAAAACACCTCAAGGATAGACTACTGTTTCCATGTTTATTTCCGTTCCCCAAAAGAAAATTTATTTTTTGTAAATTAAAGAAATCACAGGCAAAATATCTATTATCTCCTCACTTAGAATCATGGTATCTTTGCTTTATTTCATGGCAATTAGTTCAACATTTTTATGACAGCACTTGAAAACTTACTGTTTGATAAACCATCGATAGCTAATATCAATATATAGCACACTGAGAAATATCTGACTTGCTTTCACACCGGTGACTTTCATATGCCTAGGCACATTTGAGGTAACCAGGTAATTCTGTAGGGCAGCAGCATGCTATAATTTCAGAAATAAAGCAAACTGACTAATAAGCATACCAAGAATTCATGAGGTAGAATAGGGCTTCACTCTCCAAAAAGAATGAGTAAACACTGAAGACATGGTCCTGCAGTTAGCCTGCAATAATTCCAATTTACTATAAGAATACTTACTTGGTTATCTTTCATTTACTGAAGAAAAGGCATCAATATAAGGTAAAACCAGCTAGGAAAATACACAAAACAGCTAAGAAAAAGACTGTTAGAAGAGCAGGGAAGAAAGAAAAGCCACACCAATCTCAACACTGAAACGATAAAATTATTTCAACAATGCACTTCATAACCAAGTTGACAATTAAAACTATTTTTCCCTTTTATGAAAATGGAGTAAGCTGTAAAGGCAACTGAGAAAGGCTGCTTTCTTTGAGGTGCTCTGGGATAGGTGAGTCCTTTTAAACAATCAGTAAGAAATTTCTTAGGTAACAGCAATGAAAATGGATCAGGAGGTACAGCGGAGAGCCAGGTAACTAAGCCTGGCTGATTGGCCAAATTTCTTCAATTCCCATGTTACCTGAAGCTGTTGGGAGCTGTCATTAAGGTTATCCTCTCGTCTCCTGGCCTCCTCCAGCATCTGTGCACTCTTCTTTTTCTCCACTTGCTCTTTGTGCTTCAGATTGGCTACTTTCTTATTTTGATCTTTAACTTGCCTGCAAAAGAGAAGAGCACTCAGAGAGTGGTCCAGAGCACGCTTCCCAACAGCCCCAGCACTGGGCAGCCGGACTGGGGAAGAGTGGAACCCTCAAGTATCATCACTTCATTTGCAGAAGGTCACCAACACCAAACGAATGCTCAAGCGTTACCCTCAACTGTTAATTCAGCCAAAAGAATGCTTGATTTTGCTAAATGTGAAAATTTCTGAAATAAAAACCTTAATTATTATTTGGTATAAACTATTAAACAAATGATGCAACAGTCCTCTTGTGACCACTTGGCAGAAATCTTTTCTCTGTTCATACACACACGTACATATAGAAAACACAGACATCTGATAGCTTATTTTGCTTTGGGTATCACTATATATAACGTAAAGAAAATAGGAGGATCAAAAGGAAAAACTAATGAAACATGACTTGAATATAGAGGGCTACCTAAAAGATCTAGGCAATCTGTTTCCACAAGTAAAACTATTTCTTTTCAACCTCAAGTCCTACTTGTTTACTAGGTATTTTGAGGGATTTCCGATCCTTTCTTTTTACAGAAACAAGACAGAGCAAGTAAGAACAAACTATTTCAGAAAGCGTGGATAATTTCCTTTTCACTTGCATCTATGAATTATTTTTGATGATCCTGGCAACTACCATCGCCTGTAAACAGGGTTTGGCCTTTCTGGGCATTAAGACACATGGAGTATTGAATCTAATTACAGACCCTTTAATCTCAGCCTCCTGACCACAGAGAACTTAAGTCTAAACTTTTAGTCCAATCAAAACAAAACAGGCTAGCTTTGCTTCCTCAGCCCTTTTCTTCATAATTATATCTGGAGTTTGGATTTTGGAATAAAAGACAGATTCTTTGGTCGCAAGATTTCCCCAAAACATTATGCAAGTAGTAGAGACGGCTCTTTAATTTACTGTTTAGAAAGCAGAATGATATACTAGCTTCATATCTGGTATGTTATCCACACAGAGAGGGATGAATGTTTCTTCTGTATTTCAGAAATACTTTTGGAACAGATCACAAACAACTCTGATTTATTTTTTTCTTCAGAATTCATAACAAAAGTATGATCAAGAACATATCTCTTTTCAATATATATGTTCAAATTATGTAGCATATGGCTAGTCAGTGTTGTGAGTTCTTCCAAAAAACATGTAGGTTCAACACTGAGCTCTGCTTTTTGCAATCTAAGCCAACTGAAGCTGGGAAAATTGCAAAGACGGCAAATTTTCCTTGGTGCTAAACAAACTTCTATTAGTGTGAAAAAGTGCTGATGGGCTCAGACACTGAGAAAAAAAAAGGAAAGTCCTTTTCTGATGATGTTAAATAATTACTGGCATACTGAACTACCTTGTCTAACAGTTATAGCTGATTTAAGTCAGGATGCTTTTTAAACACAACCAGTATAATTGTTAAGTTAGCCTAACCCAGTGCTGCACACTGGCAATGGGCGCATTGCCCAGTTTGAAAGCAGACGTGTTCAGTGATTAAACAACTTATTGGAAATACTATGTTGGCACCAACTCAGCTTGTACAATACACAGTTCTATCTGTCCAAGAAAATAAACATAGGAAGTACAATTAAGTCAATGCAGAAAATGAAAATATGCTAGTCCAACACATTCAATTCCATATAAGAATTCTTATTCAACTTCTAAATTAAAATTACAGGAATTAATTATTTTTATAAACTTGCAAACTTAGATTCACTTGTTGGGAAACTGGCCTGTGTTACTGTAATCTTCTGGTTAGATAAGAGACAACAAGATTAATAAAGCCACAACCCTCATCAAAATATGTCTGAAGTATATAATCTCCTGCATGGTCCAAAACATTTTCAAACAAAATGTGTATTTCAAAGAAAGGAGCAATTATTGACATCCACCTTCTCATGTCTGAACCAAAATTACTGTCTTTCTAATATATTAGGTAGATATTTTGAGACAAGCTTTCCTAAAGCAGTTAAAAAGGTGGAAGTCTTGAAATTACCTAGTGGTTGTATTACTCAGATCAATCCTCATAACTGTCACACTGTTTGGAAGCTAGAATTCACATGCTGGATACAACTATCTCTCTATACCTTTGACGTTAAAAAGCAACAAAAGTTGGGCAATAAACCTTTCAAATTATACAAATTTCCCCAGCTGTTTAAGTATATAAATGGAGAAGTTCATGTGAAGCTTGAAATTTATGAATTTAAAATGTTTGCAGTCATTTGATGCATGAAAACACATCTCATCTTATCTCAATGCCTGTGGTACCAAATGACAGTTCTCACTTTTACAATACTTCATGCAGATAAGTGTGTAAAAGGTTTAGCATATACAAGCCCAGAGCCCTCGAATATTTGCACCATGAAAGTTGTGTGAAACTGTAAAGAATCCAACCATGATTCTGTAAAGAAACCTCTTCTCTGTCAGATAACTTTCAGTCTCAAAAGCTAGAGAACCATGTTTTTATATGTAGAAACAATATTTTAAAAATATTAAACACATGCAAGCACATTTTTTTTTAATATCAACAGACCTCAAAAGCTTGATTAATAGGAATCACACAATTCACTGCTCAGTAAAACAGTTCTGTTGCTATTTTGAACAATGAAATACAACTGATGATTGTTATAGAACAATTTCATCTTCACACCACCACTGAACAATGTGCAGAACTGGACCACATATTAAACTGGAACAATAAAATAAAATACAGAAAGTATGCATCTTAAGTGAGCACACTGCAACTGGCACATTCTATGAGGAGAGAGTCAAGAGGAAAATAAAGATTTTTCATAATATATGTGCACAAAGAAGCTAATTAGACTGCACAAAGAAACAAAGCTCTGGAATTCCCTCAGTTGAGTCCTTCATTTTGTAATCTTAATGTTCTTTTAACTCTTCTGAATGCAATTACACATATGTACAGCACATAACCCTGTCGAAGGGACAGCAAGGTTTTAAAGAAATCCTTCGTCTGTAAAAGTATTTTTAGTAAAACTGAAAAAACTGCACACGTTTAAAGATAGAAAAAGAAGAATGAATTAATTACAATGATGGCAACAGCTTAAAGATTTATGAGTGTTTTCTAGAAAGCATTAGTGTTAGTATGTAGAGCAATGAAATAAACACCAATTTGCAATGTGCACATGGATTTCTCATCATAAAATAAGGAAAACATGATTCTGAGAGATACAGAGCATTATATATTATTGTAAGTACCCATTCCTACTGAAACATCTTTTTAAAATGGGACTACAGAGAGAGAAAGAATGCGGTGATTCTAATAAAAATCGGAGAGCCAGTTCACATTCAGTGAGATAAAGCATTAAGGGAGGATATCACTGGAACCAACAGAAACAATAACAAACTAATAAAAGCAAAATTTCCTCATCTCAGAAGATGTTTATCCCCAGAGTCATCCTCAAATCAAACGATAGAAAATGTTCTAGTCATATATAAAAGAAGAAAAGTCTAATGAGAATGTTTATTATGTTGAATTACAGAAAAGAATCCCACTTGTTTCGGAAATAACAATTTCTTTCGCATTTTTTAATAGCAATTTTCAGATAATTACTTGTTTTGAGGTACAGCTCCTAAAAAATTAGAACTCAAAAGTGAAAATTCACTTCCATTGCTTAGATTTTTTTTCTCCTTTTCACAATATATCATGCCAAGTACTGTTACAATGGAATATATTAAAGAAAAGGAAGTAGAATGAAAATTAGGCTTCTGATTTAAAAAAATAAAACCCCAAGTCTTTCAACTGAAGACTGGCCAACATTTTCAGAATTAATCATTTCAGATTCTTTGATTTTCTGTGTCCAACTTAAGCCATGCCCCTGCTGAAAAGTTCTGATATTTTTCTCAATCTGGACACTGAAAATAACAGTTTCTATGACTTTATCCTTTCTTTAATGAAACAAAGCTGCATCAATTAAAAAAAGCCGCACCTTTCCACTTCTCTATGAAATTCTTGACCTTCCAGTGATGAGGTATAGCCAAACACCATGGGGAATGAATTAAAATAATCACAGTAAGCAACAAAAACTTTCAAATTAGAAGATTTCATATTTTCAAATAATTCTAAAACAGGAAGACAAATAGGTGTAACAGAAAACCAGTGGACCATCAAGCATTCCTGCAAAGTGGAAAGTCACTTCGTTGCCTGTGAGTCCTTTGGAAGAGTTTTCCTCCCTAGTAAGATTGTTTTATAGGAACTATTATTTATTAAGGCTTTTATGAATTTAATTTTTTCTGTACTAACATGAATATTTTTTTGCATATTAATACTAATCTCATTATTTTTTACTGTAATGCACATCAGCAAATATAGCTGTTAATTTTTTCCTCATATGGATTTTCATGCTACATGTTAATGTAACATAAGCTATTATCCTCATCTGATTATCTTTTCTGGCATAATTTCAAATGTTCTTGTAGAATAAAATGTGACAAGATGTTAACTGAAAATATGCATAAGTTAATTTGAATTTTATAATTATATTTTAATATATTTTTCCTTCACATTTATGTGCCTAACACGCAATGTTGTTTTTAGAATAATCCAAGTATAAGTACATATTTACAATGCTTTCAAACCAACACAGATGCTTACTTTCAATACAGAATGTATACACACATACTATATTTCACCTAATAAATACACACACTAGGAAAAAATATACAGATCTCGTGCACAGCTACAGAAACAGCCTGTTTTATTCATCTGACTTAGGTACTCTGAAAAGATTTCCGTGTGTCAGTCAGCCATATCAGAAAGATTGTTTAGCTCGAGCCTTCATTGACGTAGCATTACCACCACCCACAGGACAGTCCACTGTTGCTGCAGCTACTAATCCCGATGGACAGATGAACTTCATTTGCTTTAAAGCACACTTTGCTCCTCAACATAAATTAAACTGATGCAATAGCCAACATCACTGAAAAAAAAGGCAACAAAACCCGTATGCAGTGAAGTAATATTTAGTTTAAAATTG